AATCATAACCTGTATGGTTAGCAGATTATCTTCGATAGAGCTTTGATTATTCTTGCCGAGATTACCCTTTGGAAGCAAGTTTAATTTCTATATTAATCAAAGATATTGCTTTCCAGTTTTCTAGATCATTTCTAACTTGTCCTTTCATTTCAATAAGTATAATTTTTGGTTGTTTTTGAGAGGAGGACAATCTTTTGGCTCTCTGCAGAGGTATTTTATGAAACTTGGGACCAAGTTTTTCCCGCATCAAGGTAGCTCAAGGATGTACATCTTTATCGAGGCATTTTTATACACTTTCACCCAAAGTAAAAAAAATGCGATTGAGCACTTTTCAATGAATGATTTCCCACAGCTTTGAACACTACTTCAGTTGAATGATGCACTCTGAGTTCTCATTCAGAGGGTATACTCGAGCTACTTTTAGAACGTTCTGCGCACATCTCCTACACGTAGCTCATCCACGAAATAATATATAATTTGAATCACCTCAACCAGGATAGAAGAACAAGGAAAGAGAAATACGTATTGAGCACAGCTAATAAGAAAATTTTGCAACGAATATTGTAACCCAAAAACGATATTTTACCCGTTTGCGAATCCTGTTACCGTTGATAGTAATTACTCTTTTTCACGATCGATAATCACATTTACTACAAACTAATCAAACCACCAATGACCGAGAGTTGATTACAAATTCAATGGCTTACCATCTCAAGCTGTGGATTTCTTAAAGTTAAGGAAGTTTTTTCTAGATCTTTTTAGTGTGTATTATTAGAATATTGTCATATTGTAATTTGTGAGGTTATTGTCGACCTTAAGGACTTCTTGTGGAAAATAAACAGTTAAAGTTTTNGTAAAGACAACAGAAGCAGAATGTTAACACCTATCAAAAATTCAGCGTCCTTTACGTTTATGTTGGTTGACTGTAGTTACAATGTATTGCCGCTGAATGGTAAACCATGGACTCGGTTGTCACAGATCACTGCGATCATATGTAAACATGCCATTTGCGATCTTCGGTTGAGTGGTTTCAGCGATCGTGCGATCGTCTACGATTATTTGTGAACCAGGCTTAAATTAACTACCGTTGCGATTATAAAAGCTGACGTTGCGAGCGTCAGCCCTTTGTCGGAGCGAATGGCGAATGGCATTCGCTCCGACGAAGGGCTAACGCTCGAAACGTCAGCTTTTATAATCACAACGGTGGCCAATTTATCATTTCAACTTTGTTGATATATTCAAATTATTTCGTAACACTCACCGACGCAGCCCCAAACAGTTTCTTTAGAAACTATCAGCCTTAAATTAACTACTGTTTCCGGAGAGCTAACAAGTTTACAATGAAATTTGCCTTTGGAGAAAACAAAGAACTTCAGATTATGCGTCGATTTTATGCATTTTCTCGCAAAAAAAATTCGATGGCTACTGATCTTAGACACTACTCGCATAGAAACTCCTCGCGAACCAAAAACTATCAGTAGTTGGCCAGTCACGCAACGCATGACAAGATCAAAAGATGACTGCAAGGGAGACTACGTGGACCTTAAATCCTCCACACCCTCACATCAGAAGGCAGATTCATCGCACCGTTCTCCATAGATTTCCAGGAGTGCAGATCAAGAAAACTTGAAAAACCATAAAGTGCTTTTTTAAGTTGGTGATCCTGGTGCTCCTTTTCGCGAGACCTTTCAGATTTCTGATTGATGGGGAAATTAGGTACTTTAGGTTCGCGGTGTAATTAAAACTGTGCCTCGAGCCAAATAATGAGTAAATAGTAAACAGAGATAGCTGCTGAGATTGGCATTTCTGTCGCGGTTAAAATCGATAATATCAAAAGGAGAAAGCCTTTATATTCTTTCATTATGTTTAACCCGCTTCTGCGTAATAAAGCCCTTCAACTTGTTAGTTTTGTTTTTTTACCATTTCAGGTCTCAGGAAATTCCCAGCTTTATCTCTTGAAAATTGTGAGCACATATACACGGGAATAATGATAATAAATATTGAATTAATTCTACAGTTATTCGAGTTTGAGAGAGGGTTTAACTAACGTGATGCTCTGGAACTCAAAGCTGTTCGGATTTTACAACCAACTGAGCCTGTAAGGTAAAAAGTACTGGGAGGTTGTAGAATTGCGATAGATATCCCATTAGATTGGAATCAAGTTAAGTTCCCAGTGCCAACTGCTTCATGC